TTTGTTACTCTCTTGTAACACCTCTAATCTTCTGGTGCTCATATGACCTTATGCAGTTGCAAGCGCCGTAAAATCTTTACAAAAAACAAAACTTCTTTGCTTTCTGGAAACAAAGTCACAGACAATTATGATGGTTCTTTTTTTTGTGGATATTTCAGTGAACGATCTCATCAACAACACTCCACTGAAAGTGGTGGTGTACAGTGGACAGCTGGACCTGATCTGTGATGTGCTGGGTAAGTCACAAATGTGGGAGGTTGGTGGGTGCTCTGGTGTGGTTTGCTCCTTCTTTCCTATCAAACATCTATCGTCCTTATCTCCCCTCCTTTTTTATGTTTGTTACTCTCTTGTCTAATCTTCTGGCTCTCAGATGACCTTATGCAGTTGTGAGCGCCGTATAACCTCTACTAAAACAAAACAGACAAGTCACAAATATTGCTACCTCAGAACTACAAGGTTCTATCTGACATTTTTGGCCTTTTAAAAAAATTACTAAGATCATGATGTCAGAAACCAAATGTTCTGTCTGCTATATCTAAATTGTGCGATTATTCAGAGCTGTTATCAAGAAGTTCAAAGAATTTGTATTCGAAAAATCTTTGATGTCAAATTTCTGAAAACTAGGTACTGGGCTGATAGAATTTTGTAATTTTCTGAGATAGTGAGTTGATGTACAGCCAAATAGACTGGTTTACTGCACCTCCCAGGCCTAGCCTAGTTAGTTATACCTTTAATTATCAAAGTAGTAATAATACCTTTAATTATCACAGTAGTAATAGTGGTCATAGTGCAAATAATTTCTATAGCACCCACTCTCATACAATATAGCTGGGTCTGTTGATGCCTTTGGCTTCTCATTTGTTTTAGGATGTTGATGCTTGTGGCTTCTTCTGCAGTTGTGATACATACAGAACTACATCATGGTTCATGCCAAAATGTTAACAATAGCAAGGTGATTGCCAATGTGTAAAGAGGAGTGTTGATTTTCTGCTTGAATGCGGTAACATGGATTTCTGAAATTGCCCGCGTTTTGCCCGACTTTTTGATACAAGTTGTATGAGACGTCACGATCTGTAAATTTTGAGTCCCAGTCTGAGTGCTTCCATACGGGGTCTGAAAATTAATGCTTTTCTGGGTTTTTTTGTTTGTTTATCTGGATTTTTCGGGGTAGTCAATTGGCACACCTTTGTGTGCATTGAAGAACTTAAATAATATATAGTGTGGATCTATTCTCTTGCCTGCTTTCTTTTCTTTCCAAACACAGTCTACTGGGTGCATCGTTGGTGCAGTTTATATCTTGCTGGACTTTGGTGCATCTGGCCTGGTTCAAATCTCCGACAGGACATTCTTGAACTCAGGTTTTTTGGGA